GATTTCTCTACGAATACGAAACGTCGCGTGGAGAAATCAATATCACCACGTTAAATCTCATCAAGAGATGCCATGTAAAAGTATTTTTAGAGTTTTCTATATATCTAATAATAACGTAGAAAAACAAATAGATATTCCAAAAATTCACTTTCTTTATACAAGGTGTTTCTCAAGTACGTGTAGAAAATCCAGGAGCATGTTGCTGACGTCAAAATAAGAAGAAAAGTTCGTATAAATATATGTCCGAAAGTTATTCGTTTCTGAGATACAGAGTGTCAAAGTTGAATTCTTATTTTTGTTTTTTGTTAATAAATTTCAAAATAATTGTGATATTCAAATGAATTTTGGTATTTCGGGGTATTTTTCGATGACAATATCAAATTTTATGTTAGTTCATCTCTTTCGTGAGGGTGGCGGCACCTACATGTCTTCTGAGTCTTTTGAAAAGTCACAACTTTTTTGTGCGTACAGGGTGATTCCCCATAAATGTCCCCCCCTCTAGCTCACTTATTTTTGAACCGATTCAAAAATTTGAAAAATAATCTAAAATGATTTTTCAGAATTTTTTTTCCCGTTGCATCAGAAAATACAGGGTGCTCGGAACAAATGATCTACAGAGTACTACTTGATTTTTTCAAATGGAACACCCTGTATTTCATTGTATTTTTAGATTCTTGCTGAAGAGCTGATTTCAACAATGCATCACACTTGGGGTCTAGCTCTACAGAGATATAGGGTATTCAAAATCGAGATTTTTCAAGTTTAGGAATTTTTAGTCTCGAAACTATTCATTATTGGTCGAAACGGTTTCTATGTTTCCATCTCAACTTTTGTTTTTCTGTCTACTGACATTTATTTGGAACATTTACAGGGTGGTTCAAGATTCAGAATTCTGATCACCCTGTATCTGTTCCAATTATTTAATGTCAGTAGATAGTCAATCAAAAGTTAAGACATGGACATAAAAGCCGTTTTGACGATGATGAATAGTTTCGTCTCAAAAAAATTCTAAATTTGAAAAATCTCGATTTTGAACACCCTATATCTCTGTAATCATTCCCGCTAGACCCTAATTGTGATGCATTGACCAAATCAGCTCTTCAGGGAGAATCTAGGAATACAATGAAAAATAGGGTGTTCCATCATATAAAAAAATCAAATAGTACCCTGTAGATAGTTTGTTCCGAGCACCCTATATTTTCTGATGTAGCGGAAAAAAACTTTATCAAAAATCATTCAAGATGATATTTCAAATTTCGAAATCGGTTCAAAAATAACTGAGCTAGAGGGGGGGACATTTATGGTGAATCACCCTGTACCTGTATCACGTTCTATAGTAGGAAAATAGTTTTTCCTCCGATTGGCAGCAAATATTAATTTTGCTGACTCATATCGATCAGCAAAGTATCACTTTTCCTGCCTAGGCAGCAAAGTGGGTACTTTGCTGCCTAGGCAGCAAAGTGGTTACTTTGCTGATTGATATGTATCAGCAAAATTAAAGATCCATAAATCGTTTATAATTTCCTTCATATTCCATCCGAGACTTCTCCGGCAACAAATTCAACTCTATATTTTTTGCCACCTCCCTTATTAATAGAGGTGTAAGTATACTTCCAGGTCGCTATCACTGTCCAATATATAATAATTCAAATATAGCGATATTTTTCGCACAACTGTCAGAAATTTCATGAATTGTCAAACCAACAACTGCGATTTCTATCAAATTTTATTTTAATTGAACACTATACAGGAAGAATAAAGAGATTGTGGGAATTGTATTAATTCGCAAATACAATATTCTCCCATATCATTATGAACAATCGGAGAAAAAATTATATGTTCAACTCGGCAGCAATGTAGATTGACTGCCTTAGCTGGATTCCTAGCCTCGCTACGCTCGGCTATGAATTCAGCCACGGCAGTCAATCTACTACTTTGCTGCCTAGTTAAACAAATAACTATTCTAGAACACGTTCGTGTAAAAAACATATTCTTCTGCGAGCAACAGTTTTCGAGTTATTGGGATTTTCAATAATCGATGCAAGTAATTTGGAATGACGAAGAAGTAGGAATTCAAAATTGATTTATCAAGTAGGTAAGGAAAATTATTTTTTTCATCAATACTGATAATAATAACTGTAATTAAGACCAAATAAATACTAAAACATCAGTTAGTTGAGGGAATTGATTAAAGTAATTGTTCAAAATGGCCAGAAAAATAGATACAAAAAAGTAAGAATCATCATTTGGCTACATTCCAATGTTGAATTGTTGAATGGAGGAGAATATTGAATGAAGGAAGAAAAATGCACTGACGTATCTTTTCTAACTGCTTAGAGTCGACTTACGAGCCCAATGGAATTAATTCAAATGCATCGATTGTTTCAAATCCCAATATCTCGAAAACAGTTGCTCGCATCGACCTCTACCAAGAATATACTTTTTACACAAAAATGTCCTAGAAATCTATTTTCTTACTATAAAACGTTATACAGGTACGAACAGAAAAGTTATGACTTTTCAAAAATTCAAAAGACATGTAGGTAGCGCCACCACCACGAAAGAGACAAACTACCAAACTTCATTCGATTATCACAATTATTTTGGAATTTATTAACAAAAATCAAAAATAAGAATTCAACTTTGACACTCTGTATCTCAGAAACGGATAACTTTCGGACATATATTTATACGAACTTTTCTTCTTATTTTGACGTCAGCAACATGTTCCTGAATTTTCTACACGTACTTAAGGAACACCCTGTATAACTGAAAAACTAAAAACAATTGTGAAAATTTTCCAAAGCCGTTGGTATGATCATCAAAATGCGCAACTTGTTTCCCATTTAACCGAATCCGTTTCTTTTCCTGTTCCCGAGATCCCTATATTACCTTATCTTGGTTTCACTATACAGGGTGGGCCACCAGTAACGCCTCGGTCTCTAGAAGGCTAACCACTCATCTTCTTGGAATTCTTCCTCTCTAGGAAGTTGCATGTCAACATAGGCTACCATTTAAAATTATTTCGAAACATACAGGGTGTCCCCAAAAACCATAAAACACTGAAGTTAAACTTTTTTCTATCGAACACCCTATATATTATTTCATTTTGAGATTCTCCCTTGTGAGCTGATTTCAACAATCCATCATACTTGGGGTCTAGCAGTTATAATTACTGAGGTATAGGGTGTGAGAAATAGAGATTTTCCAAGTTCAAGAATTTTTTGTGTCTAAACCATCCATAATTGGTCAAAACGGCTCACATGTCCCTATCTCAACTTTTGATCAACTATCTACTGACATTTAATGGAAACAAATACAGGGTGGTGCAGAATTCAGAATCTTGATCACCCGGTATATGTCCCAATTAAATATCAGTAGATAGTTAATCAAAAGTTGAGATAGGGACATGTAAGCCGTTTTGACCAATTATGAATAGTTTCGACACAAAAAATTCTTGAACTTGGAAAATCTCGATTTTTCACACCCTATATTTCAGTAATTATAACTGCTAGACCCCAAGTATGATGGATTGTTGAAATCAGCTCACCAGGGAGAATCTCAAAATGAAATAATATATAGGGTGTTCGATAGAAAAAAGTTTAACTTCAGTGTTTTATGGTTTTTGGGGACACCCTGTATGTTTCGAAATAATAGTTGTAATTGGTAGCCTATGTTGACATGCAACTTCCTAGAGAGGAAGAATTCCAAGAAGATAAGTGGTTAGCCTTCTAGAGACCGAGGCGTTACTGGTGGCCCACCCTGTATTTTCAACTGTTCCATCTGAAATGAATTGGGAAAATCGACTAATGGTATTCTTCGTGAACAAACGTGAAACACTTGTCGTAAACACAATTCTTGAATAACTGGTCAAATTAAAGAGTTCCGAACGGTATCTCAAGAAGACTTCAATGAGCTGTTAAAATAATTATCATTCAAATCGGCAAAAGATTTTTTTTCAATGTGTACCGGAACTTTTTTGTAACATCTGTAAATGGTATACATACCTACTAATTTTTTATTTAAATAGGAAGAAACCTGTATAGGCTTCTGTCACTTGAATTCAGAAACACCCAGTAGTAATGATACTTATCCGAGTACTCATCACTAATCCCTACATGTTTTTTCATTGCCCAAGTTTCGTCCTCGGGTTTGAATTCAACCTACCTATCGATTGACTTTTTTTGCATTTCACGAATGGAACTCATTCGTAATTTACCTATTTTTACGCAAAATTTTGAAAACTCCTTGGGATGTATGATAAATCTTTAGGAAATCCCGGAATTCCTTGGGAAGTCCGGGTAGTCTCTGGGAATTCCTCAGGTAGTCCCAGGAATTCCAGGTAGTCTTTGGGAATTCCTAGGAATTCCTTGGGAAGTCCCAGGAATTCCGGGTAGTCTTTAGGTAGTCCCAGGAATTCCGGGTAGTCTTTGGGAATTCCTAGGAATTCCTTGGGAAGTCCCAGGAATTCCGGGTAGTCTTTAGGTAGTCCCAGGAATTCCGGGTAGTCTTTGGGAATTCTTAGGAATTCCTTGGGTAGTCCCAGGAATTCCGGGAATTCTTTCAATAAAGGAAGTCTAGTGTACCCAATTTCAGCCCGTGATTTACCCCTCGATCAAAATCAAAGGTATAATAATTCATGTATGTACCTACGTAATAGGTAAATACCTACTTAAAAGGTACAGTCGTCTTCAGAGATCATTTCGCAATAAGAGCGCGCATACCGTCCAACCGCGACATGTTCGTTGAAGACGACTGTACTTATACCGAGACTTATACCTACCACTGAATTACCTACCTAGAATTCGAATTTGAGCAAAGCTCTCACAGATTGCCGACAAAAAATTGCATCTCAACATTCTCAACTCAATGTAAACAAGATACCTATGTATTTACTACCTACATAATTATTATGATCGCTTTGCTTTATGCTATAATCTATAATATGATGCTACCAATATATTATGCTATAACAATTGCTATAACAATAAATGAACTACCTGAAAATGATATTATTTAGGCAGAAGGCAGATATAATTATAAAATCAGGGAAGCACTACATACTAGTGTAAAATCCGAGGTAAAATCATTAGGTATCTCTATTCGTCTATTCGCACAAATGAAGATAAAGATTACCTACTTTACCACCGCTACTACCTACGACACCTTCACACAGAACACACAACTATTCTTCTTAAAGCTCAGTGACAAACTGACAACAGTGACAACGACTGACAACTGTTTTTAAGTGTTTTTCACTTTTTCAGTTCAGCGATTTCAGCACAATCAGACATTCATACTGCATACTCATGACATGAGTCAACCTCAACTTACTTCCCAGTTCCCAAACGCCACGTGGCCACACACACTACCAGACTAGACTACCACACACTACACACTATCATCGAATATCAACTTTCAGCTTTCAGACTACACAGTACACATTTACAGATAGCAACGCATGGCAACGCTAGCACTAGCAAGTAGCAACGAAAGGCGATGCTCTCTTCAGAGAAAACTTTGAGAAAACATTACCAACCATCCACAAAACATCTGAAATGCACCGCTTCAGTTTTACCGGCTATGCCGGTTTCTACGTTTACATGCGAGTCGCTATCGAGTATCGCTAGTTTCAGAACAATAATAGGAAACATTGAAATGGCTAGTTGAACGTTTTCTGTGATAGAGATCTAGAATTTGATATAGGTATACCTACCTATAACACCTATATTATGTATCAAGGGATTTTGAAAGCCTAAAGGAAGCAAACTAGGAATGCCTATAGGTAGACTGTGCATATTTGATTCATTATTACCAAATATTACCTATCTAGGTAGATAAATATGGCTTCCCCATAGTCAGTGCCGGACTGGGCCGGCGAGCGATCGGTATCGAAATTCAAAATTTGGAGGCTCCAATGTAAATGTTTTCTCTCGGTTTCTCTGGGAAAGATATTTTGATGTTAGTTGATTATGATGACATTTTAGATACCCAGACAGCACTGGATATTCATAGAATATTCTCTAAATATGCTTGAAAGGAGGAGTATATTCCGAATATTCATCGATTATTCCTAGAATATATACATGCCACTGGAACATCTAAAAGGAATATTCCAAAGTGAATAGTCGGACATGTTCAGGGAATATTCAGGTATGAATCTTCCAGGAATATTCTCAACTGAATATTCTCTGTTGTATATTCATGAAATATACCCAACTGAATATTCTATGCGGTATATTCATGGAATATACCCAAATGAATATTCTGTGCGGTATATTCATGAAATATTCTCAACTGAATATTCGGTGGTGAATATTCATGAAATATTCCATGAATATTCCTTTATTTCTCAGCACATTAATACCATTTATTATTTCAGAGATATGAGTATTGAGCAACAATTAGATGTAAGGGGATTTTGAAACAAAAAGTGTTAATGATCCGATTTCGAACAATGCTCTCACAAGAACTTGATATGTATAACATTTTTCAATTCGATTACTGGCCTAGTGTTCAAGGCGTTGCTCTGATAGTCTTGAGGTCACGAGTTCACGAGGCATATCTGCAAGCCGCCAATGTCAACCTGGACTTCCCTAACACTCCCACGCACTATCCCGTCAATGGAATGACACCGACAGTTATAGACATAGTGCTGTCCAAAAACATGGTGGACATCTCTGAGCTAGAGGTGGTGGACGAGCTGAGCTCTGACCATCTGCCAGTTTTATTCGAATTCGGACAAAAACCACCTGAAATCATTAAGAAAATATATGATTACAAGAACACAAACTGGCGGATGTTCAGAGCTCAGCTCGACCAAAGAACCACAATTAAAAGTAACATCCTGAAGACAGAGATAAATCAAGAAATGGAAAAGCTCATCTTAAGCATCACGATGGCCAGAGATGCCACCACGCGACTGGTCAGCATTGACTCCAACAAGGATGAACTCCCGGAGGAAGTTCTTGAACTCATAGCAGAAAAGAAGGTCCTGAGGCGTCGCTGGCAACGGCTTAAAACCCCGGAAACCAGAGGCGCCTTCAAAAGAATTTGTAATGAAATTGAAAACCAAATTCGTGAGTTCAGGAACTCCTCCTGGAGAGCCAAGCTGGAGAGTCTGGACCCTCGCGACAATACTCTATGGAAAATGACAAAAAGGTTAAAGAAGAAATTCACACCCATACCTACCCTGGAGTATGGGCGCGAGGAAGCGGTGTCAGATCTGGAGAAGGCGATAGTGCTTGGGAAACACTTTCAAACAATCTCTAAAATTGACAAAAGGCCAATAGGTGCGGTCCAGGAGGACATGGTGGCAACAGCAGAGCAGATAAGATCATCGCCGGACATCCTGCTCCCGCGACAAGCCCTGGGGAAAAGCATTACATCCCCAAAAGAAATCAATGAAATCATTAGGTATATGAATATCAACAAAGCCCCAGGGCCTGATGGACTTGACGTGGTTCTCTTAAAAAACATGTCGCGCAAAGCAATTGTACAACTATATTACATTATAAACGCTATCATCAAATGCCAGCACTACCCAGAATGCCTCAAGACTGGGCTTGTGGTACCTATCCCAAAACAGGGCAAGGACCCTAAGTCCACCAATGGCTACCGCCCCATATCATTGCTTAGCGCCGTGGCCAAGGTCGTGGATAGAGTCCTCTTACGACTCATCACACACCACACTAATAAGCTGGACCTCATACCAAAGGAACAGTTCGGGTTCCGCAAGGGGCACAGCACAGTGTCCCAAGTGGCCCGAATTGTTCACGAGGTTAAAGAGGCCAGCAACAACAACAAGAACACCGTCATGGTCATGATGGACGTAGAGAAGGCATTCGACACCGTCTGGCACGAGGGTCTAATGTCCAAACTGCATAAGGCAAGAATGCCGATTTTTATCATTAAGATTATCGATGCATATATCAGCAACAGGAAAATCCGGGTCAAGGTCAACGAAAGTATATCGGGAGATTTTCCACTCGAGGCAGGTGTTCCGCAGGGGTCGTGCCTTTCACCTCTGTTATATACCCTATACACACATGATTTCCCTGTATTCGAGCGGACGAGTACAGCATTGTATGCCGACGATACGGCAATATATGCTCACTCGGACGACTCGAATATCGCCAGGGCACAGATCCAGATTCATCTGGACAGGGGAATCATACCGTACTTTGACGAGTCAAAGATCTGCATAAACAGCGCAAAGACTGAGGTCATCAATTTCCACAAAAAAGTCAACAACTCCCGACTGAGCAGACCTTTGACCGTGAAAGGGGTTGAGGTGGCAGACACGACAACCGTGAAATACCTGGGAGTCAAATTGGACACCCGTATGAGTCTGAGAAAGAATACGAACTACCTCATCCAGAAAACCCATAATGCCATCAAAAAGATGTACCCCTTGATATCCAGGACCTCAGCTCTCTCGCAGGAGAATAAGGTCCTGGTATACAAGCAGGTCATTAGGCCAGTGATGACATACGCGTGTCCAGTGTTCTGCAGCATCTCACCTACTCATATGAATAGGTTACAGGTGCTGCAGAATAAAGTACTCCGTATTATCACTAATGGTGATAGATACTCTCGGGTGGCAGATCTCCACGAGAGATGTGGTAATTTGCCGAGAATCGACGAATACATCTTGAAAATCTCTAATAGATTTTACAAATACCACATCGCTGGAAGTGACCTTACCCGGAATATGACAACAGTCAGACAACACCATAACATCCATAAAAAACACGGACTGATATATGCATCAACCGATGTTTTTAGGGAGCCTGATAATCTATAGTCGGGAACATCCCCGGGTGCTCGGACATGTCCGAGCCACCGAGGAGACTCTAGACAGCACTATCTCCCAAGCACGAAAATAACATAGTGTCGTAAAAGACACTGAACTCGGTCAGAAGTGCCCATGTGGAAACGCATGCGCACAACTGCCCGAGACAAACAAGAAGGAGGTTTTTTATTTTATTTTTATTTCATTTTTCCTCCAACGACTCAGCAACCCTTTCCACTCTGATCGCGCACGAGCAGCTCCCCCACCCTATGGGTACCACCAGCGAGATTACCTGTATAAAGGGCCTAGCCCTAGGAGATAGGTCACTGCGACGAACACCTCACATATCCTCTCATATTCCTTGGCTAACACCAGCCACCTCTGCGACTGCGGAGGGACGTTCAGTCATACTCACAGATATGTCAAGCCCATTATACACAAATATGTTGATGTTATATGTGTTGTATTGTAAGAACTGTGTCAACGAATAAATGAATTTAAGTTTTTTTTGCTCTGATAGTCTTGAGGTCACGAGTTCGATCCCTACTTGGGTCACTTTTTTTTATTTTAGAATATGTTTATTGGAATATTCCAGGAACATTCAACATAGAATATTCTTTTGGGTATATTCTATGATTATCTGAGGAATTCCCATTCGCATATTTAGAGAATATTCCACAGATATTCCGGAATATTCCAGATTATTTCTAGAATATTCCAATATTCCAAAAGGAATATGATAGGGAGATTCATGGAATATCTGGTGCTGTCTGGGTAGTTTATCGGAAATCTGAAATGACTATCTTTCGATCCTAATTTGAAATTAAAAACAAATTTACTGGTGACTTTATTGAGTTTATTGATTTGATTTCTCGATTTCTACACACATTGTTATATCCATAGGCTTCAGAACTTATAACCATTTCAATGATTATGTGAAAAACGATTAGGTAGGTAGAGTCCGACCACGATAACTTTTGAGACAGCACGTGGTCGCGTATGCATTGAATATGCATAGGCGTTGCGTCACATGCTGTCCCAAAGTTAACATGAGTATTTGTGGTATGGCAACGTTAGAAATTGGTACGAAATTAGCATTCGCGTGTTTGGTCTACTATAACTCATTCAGGTCATTTCATACCCCTGGTGATCAATGATCATCAACCAGAGCCATAGCCGGTCGTGATGGGCATTAACGAGAGTATAAATGGCTTAGCACCACCTATATATAAATTTATTTTGTTGCTAACCCAGGGTATTGATTCCTTACAGAAAATTGAGAAAAAAATTGCTTTAATATTGTTCCCAAAGACACGTTATTTTCGAGAAGCTGTCACAGTTTTGAAAAAAAATATATTCTCAGTTCATGTCTATAGACATAAACATGTCTATAGAAGAATCAAAATTTTGATTTGCTTGAAATCTATACTTTTGTCTGCCTGGTCTCTGATAGGCCGACTGTCTGGTTATCTGTTTGTCTGTCTCTGCCTGCCTGTCTCTGTCTGTATCTAGCTGTCTTTTTCTGTATGTCTTTATGTCTGTCACATACGTTTTTCTCGAAATCTCAAGAATGTAAGAATTCAAAATTTGGCAAAATGTTAAGTATCGTCTTCAATTGTCACAGATACCTAACGACTAATCTGTAACCATGCGCACATACACTCAAATGTCATATAATACTTGATTTTCTTCTACTGCCTATGCTCAGTAAAAGCGCTAATTGATTGTCTAGGAAGAAGACAATTCCGAGGACAATATACATGGTATTTCATAACTGAATGTCAATATTTTAATTCGATGAGGCAATTCTATATAAGAAGAAAGTTTTATATGAACGTATGACCTAAACGTCCTAGCTTTTGAGATACAGGATGGTAAAGTTCTCAAAAATTAATATAGCCTACTACAATGAGAAGTTATAATTCCAAAATACCTAATACGAATACGAAGTTCATAAACTATGAATTGTATTTCTAAAATTTGATCTATAAAATAAAATCTATTTCTCTGCATTGTGATATTGTCATATCAACGATATTGCTATAATCATGTAGTGAAATGCTTTTTTATTTTTTAAGCGAAAACCGTGCATCAGATTGAAAACATTTTAGTTATCAAATTAGCTTAGAAATGATTGTGAATATCAGGAATGATTTCAATTTCGAGATTAATCAGTGATGTACCATCAATGTCTGCCAAAATAGGTATGTGAAATTCCATACGAACGCCACTGGTGGCAACCAAAACAAATGTGGTACACTTACTGATGTCTTTTGATACATAGTACATATGTATGCCAAATTTCATCAAGTGGTATTATAGACATTAATAAAAATAAACTTTTAATTTTTGAGAACTTTACCACCCTGTATCTCAAAAGTTAGGTCATACGTTCATATGAAACTTTCTTCTTAGAATGGGCCCAAGAATCGCCTTCCCAAATATTGACATTCAATTATAAAACACCCTGTATTTTTACTGTCTGATGGGTGTTCCTTTCACCGCCTCTATACAGGCAATACCTACCTTCTCTCCCTATCCTCCCCACGTATGAAGGATATATTATGTTCCACGAATCTAATAGGGATGCACGTTCGTGCGATCAAAAATATTAAATAACTGAAATAGCTATAAGCTATTGAAGTCGGTAAAAATATACCCGACTCGTTCATGAACGATTTGGTTTCGTAAGCTCAAAAACAAATCAACATCAAAGTTGAACTAAAGAATTTTATACTCGACTTTAGATGTGGTAGTATAAATGCTCAGCTAGATTTGTAAGTTCAAAAGTTATCAAAATATTCAATAACTCATAGTTTACACTAAGATCTATAGCGAATGCAATGAATGCATAATAAATCTGATTAGAATCGAGATGCACATAATCATAAACAAGTAGGGAGGTGCACCAAAATGAATTTTGTTAGATATGTTGAAAACCGAAACATTTTAAAAACACTGCAGTTAGAAAAAGTGAGATAATTGATTTTGTCATTCATCCAAATATCGAAATGTGGTCAATTTTTTTTCATCAAAGAGAATGCGAAAGACTCAACTCCCTCTGTATATTGATTGGATTGGTATGGCATGTTTTCCATGCACATTCACTATAGTAAATTGCCCTACGAATTTCAGAGCAGTGCCTTTCAAGGATTTCGAAATATTAAAGAACATCTGGAAATACAATAATAATAATAATAATAATAATAATAAGTTCTTCATTTCCTCAAATACAGCATGGTAATACAAATAAAAAAGACTAGAATGAAGAATAAAAAATATATAGAAAAAATGACGAATATAAATGAATAAAACTGGATATAAATATAGGAACATCACACACACACATCTTAAATTACAAATCACAAATATGTAGGCATAAATAAAATTGATTATAGATGTATATAAATCATATATACACTTCACATACAAATATAGTGCAGCAATTTTCTGATAATAGTATAGCTCCTCAACTTTTTCTTTAAAAATGTATGCAAACAGAGTAACGGCTGGGAATGCAAGTTACGCTGTTACGCTGTTTGCCGACAATACGTGAAATATGACTAGGCATTTCAGACGCCGACATATACATTTCCTGTAACTTTAATGGCACCAGGAAGTTTGTTAAAGAGTTTGCATCCCATATATTCGAAACTCTTTTGATAGAATACAGTGCGATGACTGCGATGTTGACTGGGGATGATTAAGTATAGGCATTACGTGTACCGTGGTAATATCTTCATATCCCGAAATGATTCCATACAAGAATCCCTAAATATCAATTTCGCAATGATTCTGATAGCATACTTCTGGATGATGAACACTCGACCTGCAAAGGAGCAAGGAGATTGTGCCCCAGCTTAAAAATACCATAGCTGATCATCTCATGGCTCAACGATGCATTTTCTTATAGGGGTAAACTGATTTCAACCGGTCTATTTTGATTTCTAGTTTACCTTGTAGAATTTATTCATTTATCTATCTATATTTGGACAAAAATTCCAATACCGTTTTGTATTATTATAAAGATTAGAAATACCTCTCTAACAAGGTGTAACTTGACTTGTACAATTCAAATAATTTTGAAAAGGTTGATCGGTAGGGCAGGAACAGGTTGATAGGTGGTTTTTACGCAAAAGAAATATATTCAAACGTGAAAATCGACTTGTCCAAGGTCTTTTCAAAATATACTCCTGTGATGAAGATACGGATTTTATTCCATCATAGGTTTCCACACTGTATTATTTATTTTAGAGAATGCCTGAGAATGCCTTCCTCACCTCACGTCAGTCGCGTCGATTTGAGTCTATCATGTAAACGAATTTTGCGTTATCGCTTGTTTCAGTCGTTTCTCGTTTCCTTGATCACACCTTCGTTGTTTCGTCTCGGTTGCTCTCGCCCGGCCGACCGCTTTCATTTATCATTTCATTCTCATTCTATTTTCTGTTTCTGTATATATCCGTTTCATTCAGTAATTGATATTGTGATATTCCCACTTCCCAATTCTAGTTCTGTCCTTCTGTCTGTTGGTACTAGGCGCCGGAGAGTGAAGACCGGTAGACAACGACAAAGTAAAGTAATACCGATAATAATTACCTACCGGTTGATTTGAATCCTTGATTGTGAACGGAGTCAAAGTGAGGTTAAAATGGTTGGAACACTTAAAAATATTACGAAAAGCCTGAAAGAAGTGGCGACATTCAGCCTAAGCAGAAACTGTAAGTTCACATACCTACCTACCTAACTAATTTATCTATTATTTATAAATACGGGTACCGTCTTTCAAATTTTTTCTATGAGTATGTATCGAGGTATGTATATGTAGGTACCTATATATATATATAGGTATTACCGAGGGTATTACCCTGGTTGAATATAATAGGTGGTACTTTCAATTGAAATTTTGCGAAAGTTTGTTTTGAAACATTGAAACATCTATACTTCAGTCTATGTTGATCATCTCTCAATCTCTCACACGAGAACACAGTATATATACCGGGTGTATAACAGGATCATGGTACACCCCCTTTTTCTCCTTTTTAGTTTCAGAGATAAATTTGGAAAGACCCATCATGCAGCTTGATATAAACGTCATGTTTTGACCTAAACATGTTTCATTTTCCACTTCCGGTTTCACAGGAAGTGGTACCTACTATATAGGTAGAGGTAACTTTCCATTTAGAACACCCTGTCATATAATATATCATTGCAATTTCGAATTTTGCATCATTTTCTGAATCCAATATGATGAAAAAATAAGCAAGAAAATAAGTGACATTTTAAACGTCAACTCGAGCGTCACTATTTATTTCAAGTACTCACATCGCCAGGTGTAATTCTAATAAAATTTAATCCCGTGAGAAATGTGAAGTTTCTTGATTTATCACTAAATTAAGTTCATCAAATTGATGCTGTTACACCCGGTAATTTGATCCAGGTATAATCACCGCACAGTACCTATATACCTATAGTCACCTTCATAGTCACACAGATTAACAAACCTTATCTGATGAAAATTACCAAAAGCCAGAAACAACTAATTTCAGAAAGCATGAATTATTGTATTACAGAATACTCAAGAGAATACTCAATCGCATTTCAGATAGGTAGTGTCATTTGTATTTCAGAAAATATCTATTGAAATTCAAATGACGCTTCCTGAAATTCAATTGACTATTCCGAAATAGAACTGACAGTTTCTGAAATTGGATTGACTATTCTGAAATACAATTGATGCTTTATGAAAAACAAGTGACTAATTGATTACTACCTACCATGTTACCACTGAAACTAGAATTATTAATTGTAGCCCAGAACCGGCGCCAGAAATTTAGAGGCCTAGTATGAGTAGTACAAAATAATAATACCTCGAATAATACTCCGGGGCTCGGATGGCCTGGTGAAGTAGCATTAAGTAGCATCAAGCAACAGATAAAAACTCTTGTCGAATTTCAATGGTACAAAGTTTACTTTTTTCATGAAATGTCACTACACGGAAACAAAGAAATTGTTGAATCGAGCGAAATTTAATTGAATGAAGCAAATATATGCACAACAAAATATAATCTTGAAATGAGTAAATCTATACACCTTGTTTCAGAGCAAATTTGAAGTTTAAATCAAGTAAATATGTCTTTCATGAACTCTGCATCTTATTCAATCAAGCACATCCATTTATTGGTTATGAAGAGATATTGAATTGGCCTCGGAATTGGCTCAAACAATAATTTCGTGATTTGATTGATTTAATAAAATATTTGGTTGATTATGGCCACTTCCTCTTCCCTACAAGTTGATGGGTTCAAATTTGAAATCCGACATATTTACAATATATTGATACAAAGTATATTATATATTTGTATAAAGTCAGACATCTAATAAAACTGCAATTTTATTTGTGGAATGATCATTATTTATTTTTTCTACTTCATGCAAAAAGCAGAACTTTATTGAACTATATTTAGTGGAAAAAGAAGTTCTTTATTGCACTTAGTGCAATAAAGTTTTTATTGCACTCATCTGTCATTCTACTTCAACGTGCTGTCATCATGACAAACATTTTTCATATTGCAATTGTGGTTATAGAAACGTCAGTCAAAAATTAATTCTGACAATTAACAGAATTGTACCTAGTGCCGCACCTCAATAAATCATTTTTTGCTTTTTGCATGAACGTAGAAAAAATGTTGTATGCAACTCGTGCAAAAATTGTTCATTGCACTCGACGTGTTGTCCAACTCGGCCTGGCGGCCTCGTCGGACAATTTCACGTCGAGTGCAATAAACATTCACTTTTTGCACTTGTTGCATAAATAACTATTGTAGCAATGGATTCGCCATAGACTGTTTGAGCACCCGTGTTCTACATTACCAGTTAGTTATACAACTCAATATACATGGTGATTTTCAAAAAGAATTTTTTTTGCGAACCCCTAAGTTATCTTCGTTTCAATTCCGGCGTAATAATTATACTAGAACTTCAAGTCGAACTTATATGAATTTAGATCTCGATTTAGATGTTGCAAAGTTCAACGGTTCAAAGTTTCCAACATGATGAACACATTTGTTATTCTAGATTTTCTTCTATACGAAAATATTGATACGTATGATCGCTAATCTATTCTTTCCAAAGTTCAATGTTGCAATTTCGTATTTTTTCCGGTTCCGAGTCCACATGCACGATAATCGACGATTATAAAAGGAAAATATATTCTACTTCTCAATTGTACTTCTACTGGAAATGTTTCTGTACAAGATAAAAATAGGACACCTACACCTCAGGGTGTCCGGGAAACTGTGGAAAATCTCTCAGACTCAGATATAACATGAGAAAATAATATGACAAGGTCCTACATATTTTTTCTACAGATCCTCCCTCGGGTTCTCCTGGGAACAGGTCGTTGCATCCCATGGACGTATTATACGTCCATGTTGCATCCACATTTCATAATGTTAAGGTCTATTAACTTCTATAAGTTTGCCTCATAGTATAGCATTAGGGTAGGGGGTGCGCGGAGGGGGGAACGATCTATGACGTCACCTGTTTCCCCGCCGTGTGATGTGATTGTAGGTTTCGTTTTGTGTCACTGTCAAATGTTGTTGAAATTTTATTAATAATTGCTTCATCAGTAGCTCAACCTCCATATCCTTAAATGCCAAAAGAAATCAGTCTTGATAAAGTGATATTGCAATGAGAATTTGACTGTGTGACTTTTTGTGATTGTGTCTGTACAATAGGAGCACTGAGGAACTGAACATATCTTTCTAGATTTCTGTTTTCACAGTCTTCTGTACTTGCTGCATGTTTCGGAAAAACAGTAAACTATCTCGTAAATACAAAAACATTGGAAAACTTCAAATTTATCAAAATTCACCTTCGCCATTTTCATTTTGCCACTCGACAAAGGACGACTGAGGAAACAGTGACGTCAGGCCAGAAAAAATATGAGGCAACCTCATATAGTTAAATAGCCTTGAGTTATACGTGTGTATTTTGATCTATGGTTATACCCATGCACAGTCTCCGAACATACCCAAAATACTGATCATAGACGGAGGATGCACTATTCTCAAATACTATGCTATAATGCGTAATTTTCCGAAAAATATACTTTCTAGGAAGAATGTTCGTTTAGACCGAGTTATGTTAGATTGTCTTTTCTTATGCAGAAAGAATATTTTTCTACGGCTATAACGCAAAATTGCTCTTGTTTCACTGTGTTCCATAAATTAGATAGAATTTATTTATCATGAAGATAATACATAAATATAAAGGAACATATTAAGGAAATATTACAGGAACCTTGTAAAGATAACAAACAGAAAGTTAATGAAAACAATATTATAATATAATGAATGTGATCAATTAATAAATAGATATAGTGAATAGATAATCATATTGATTTCAAAATTTGGTCACTCCTATTATGACGATGATATGATGGACATAATTTCAAAAATGAGGTCATTTTGTATTGGTTTTTCTATCTTTTATAATAATATGTTTGATTGGAGATGATTTGAACTTTATTATATTAGATATATTTCCGTATATTTCTGATATCGTCAGGTAACGCATTATATTCAATCATACCACGGTAGAACAGACTATTCATCGTACAATTTTTTGACACAGAGTTCACATAATAGTTGTCTCTAGATCTGGTGTTATATGAATGTACAGTCGTATTCAAAAAAAAAGCGTACAAGTATATTGGAGGGAGAAATTAACGTCATCCTATTTGCCTAAAACGGGCTATCGGGAATGAATGTTTACAAAATGTTGACAGTAGAGTAATCATAGGTTATCAAAAACACAAAGCATTGGCTGAACCAATTTTACACAACGAGAACTAGAATGCCAAAATCTTCTATGTTTAATACTTGTACGCTTTTTTATTGAATACGACTGTACATCGGAAACTTTTACTAGATGTGAAATAAATCAATGAGGTATGTACCTACCTACTTTGTATGTCATCAGTGTTATTTGTGTTATCATTTCACAAAATCTCATATTCCATGAAATGTAAATTTTTAACAATGACATCAAAAATTTCGCTGTTATCTGTTACAGCCGTAGAAAATATATAGGTAGTGTATAACTCGCACGGGATGCTTAATTCCCACTCTCATGCTGCAACTTCGCGTGGGAAATGGCTATCATTCCGTGCTCGTTAAACAATCTTCTCTATTTGCATACAAACTGTTGTTATTTTCATTTGAGATAACCACGAAAATTCAGATGTGGATATTGATAGTTATTGCATCATAACACACAAACACGTGTTGCTGGATTCCGTGCGTCATTCGTTGCGATTTTTTGTGTGTGGTGGTTTGAGCAAGAGAATATTTGGTTTTGGTAACGAATCATCATGGAAGAAATGCGAAGGGCTGGGTAGGCAGTGCCGGTTTAAGGTGATTTGCTGCCTGGTGCTATGATAGACGCACCGCCTTTCAGACTCAAAAATATTCCTAATCTTCCAGCCTGTCAGGGATCTGAAACTCCCATCAATCGTGTCAGTCATTAAAGAACGAAACATCAAGACTTTCGAAAAAGCTGAGGTTCATGAGAATCAGCTTCTTCGAAATGCAGTTGATTATGACCCAGGTGATCAATCAACGTTCAAAAGACCGAGATTGTCCATAAACTAGGACAAATATCGACATTATGACCAAATTTACTATTCTCAAGTTTATGATATTTATTTATTCCCTTC